GATGTTATCAACAGGAGCATAAAAGGCATGGTACCCGGACCCCCAGAGCAGACTGGTTTAGGGTGGGGCTGGACTATAAATGCATAAACACAAAAGAAAATAGGTAACAGATGATCGGTGCTCTGGTGAAGATACAACAGGGCTTCCTGGTCGTGAGAGCCGTGGAGTTACTCCCCTCGCCACTCTCTTTTGGCCACCATGAACTTGCTCTCTGCATCTATGGGGTTGTTTCTGTTTTGTTTCATTTATTCATTTGTGTGTGTGGGAGGGGGTTAGATTCCACATGTAACAGCATATGGTATTTGTCTTTTTCTGTCTGACTTATTTTACGTAGCACTATACTCCCTGACTATCCATCCATATCGTTGCAAATGGTAAGATTTCATTTTTTTTGTTGTTGTTGCTGAATAATACTGTACTGTATATGCAGCATGGGGCAAAAAATTGGTTTATAGTTGCTTTATAGAAATTAATATAATTAATACTTGAGAATTGAGAATAAACTCTATGTTTCTCATACTCTCAACTGTAAACCTACTTTTGCCCCGTCTTGTATATACCACTGCTGTATTCATCTGTTGATGGATATCTGGGTTGTGATCTTATCTTAGCTATTACTAGCAATGTTGCAATGAACATAGAGATGCATGTATCATTTTGAATTAGTGTTTTTATTTTCTTTGGATAAGTACCCAGAAGTGGACTCGCCAGATTGTGTGGCAGCTCTATTTTTTGAGGAACCTCCATACTGTTTTCCATAGTAGCCCTACCAATTTATAACCTCACCAACAGTGTATGAGGGTCCCCTTTTCTCCATTCTCACCAGCACTTGCTATTTGTTGATTTATCCACGGTAGCCATTCTGACAGATGTGAGGTGATATGTGATTGTGGTTTTAGTTTCCCTGATGATTCGTGATGCTGAACATCTTTTCATATGTCTTTGGCCTCTTTTCATATGTCAATGTCTCTTCAGGGCCTCTGCCCAAATTTTTATTTGAATTGTTTGGGTCTTTTGGTGTTAAATTGAATAAGCTTCATGTATATTTTGGTTATTAAGCCCTTATTATATATGTCATTTGTGAATATCTCCTCTCATTTTATAGGTTGTCTTTTCATTTTGTTTATGGTTTCCTTTGCTGTACAAAGCCGTTTTGGTTATATGTAATCCCATTTATTTAATCTTTCTTTTATTGACCTTGCCTGAGGGGTGCTATCCAAACAGATATTACTAAGAGAATTGCCAAAGACTTTGCTGCCTCTGTTTTCTCCCAGGGGTTAAACAGCTTCAGTGTGAAGTTATTTTGGATTGGTCAGAGAAGGTATTTCTGTGAAGGGGGTATTTAGGCAAGGATCACAGAATCATGTCTTAAAGTCTGAGAGGGGTCAAGAGATGATAAATCCGATCATTTGTTGTAAGTTCACCAAAGATTTTGGTAATTTCCAGCTAAGAAAATACAATGATCTGTAGTTGATATGTACTGGGGACGGTCAACAAGCTTGGCAGCATATGGCAGAGGAGAAACAAAATCAAAAGTACTACTTTACAAAACTTCCAGTTATTCATTTTTGGAGCTCTGGGATGATTGTGTTAGGAAATGTTTTATAGGAGAGTTAGGGGAAATGATGTCCTGATTTGGTTAGTTATCAGCGTATAAGGTTTTATGGTTACATGAAGCTTTAAGTAGAAAACCATTTTATTTTCATTATCACTGAAAAACTCTAAAGTGTGCTTTGCTGATAAATGTAGTAATAATGGACATAGGTGAATCCTTTTCCTTTGAAAATTAATTTTGATGTTTCAGACAGACTGTAGTTATCAAGAAATGTAGAATGCATTAAGAAGAATGTGTGCTTTTCAGACAGAATTTTTAAAGTAGCATCTAAAAGCCTATTTATTACAGAAATTTGGAAACGGGAGAAATCTGTAAAGAATTTTTTTAATGACCCTCAATTCTACCATTCTTAATATTACACTTTGAAACTTTTTCTTATCTTTTTTCTGTATCTTTAAAAAAATAGTCAACACACCACACATTTAAGTATGTATATATGTATATAAATATATGTATACATATACCTAATATGTAATTATTTATAATTAAAATAATGACATATGTTTTTTTCTCATATTACCATGACTTCATGGTAAATATGATTTTTTAATGGCTGCACAATATTTTATCCTTGGAATATTTTAACCAATTCCCTATATATGTTTCAGTCAAAAGTAGAATTGGAGGCTGAGAGAGAGGGAGCTGCTTGGTGGAAGTTCTGGCTAATCACGGTTTTCTATTTTGTAAGACAAAACTACTTCTCAGTCTCAGGACAGTTTTTGTTAAAATGTGTCTAAGAATGTGCCATTTCAGTTTTTATAGAGGAAAGTTGAATTTGAAGATTTTTGAAGTAAAAATCATTGAGGTTTTAAGACATTATATAATTACAAATGCAACCAAATTTATGAACCCAAACTAAAACATTAAAACTCCTTGGAAAAGAAATTGGGAAATCTTAAAGTGTTGTGTGTGTTTTTTTGGTAATATTATATTTCCAACATCTTTCTGACATATTAATTTTGACATTGCTGATGAATTAATCAAAGATATATAATTTAAAATTAGAAATGTGTTTCTCTTAGGTATCTAGAGCAAATAGCAAATCAAAATACATTCTTTTTCATATGAATTGCTTCATTAAAATTTCTCATGTAATTTTCTTTATTATTTGTCTTGAATTTCTATATACTTTCAACATTGTTGAAAGCTAATTTTTCCTTGGGTATTTAAATTTAATTTTATAGATTAGTATCTTCTACTCAACACTCATATTCTGCTAGTAGAATTAGAAACAATCTGTCTCAAGGACAGTTTGACAATATGTATCAGAAACCTGTAAATAAATTTATACAAATTACTTCAACTTGAAATCTGTGGATTAGTCTTAAGGAAATAATTGGCCAAGTGTATAAAGATTAATGCACAAGAATGTAACCTTGCTTATAAAAGCAACCTATTAGAAATAACTTAAGTGTCCAGCATTTAGAGATCAGTTAAATAAAGTGTGGTATATTCATAAGCTGGAATATCAGGAAGCTATTAAAATGATCAAATATATCTCTACTTTTAATTTTAGAAAATTATCACAATAAAGTGTAGATATATTGGCCTGTTGTATAAAGTTATCTGATACTGGCAATTAAATACCGGTGAACCCTGAGAAAGAGAGTAATTTTTGTTTTGGCATTATTAAAAGTGAGTCCCCTTCCTTGTAATGGAAAGGCACTAGAACTGTTTGTCTCTTGAGACCACTCTCAGTTTGTTTATTTTAAGTATATAAAGTCATATTCTTACCTTCCATTTGCTATGGCAGAGAGGCATGTGTCCAATTCATTTAAAGGTATTACATGTCCACAACAGGGGGCATGAGCGGGGGAGTTGGGGGATTAATGGGGGGATGAGGATACATATGTAATACCTTAATCAATAAAGAAATTAAAAAATAAAGGTATCACATGTCATTAAAATGTAAATAAACAGAAGACTGCCTAAGATACATTTCTGTTTTGTAGTACTTCAAACTGATATCTGATATGCTTGTCCTGATTCTGTATGTGGTATTGGATTACAGAGTTTATAAGATCTTTAAAAGCTGGGGGTTTCCATTAAGTGTTTGCTGTTAGAGCCACTTCATTCCCGGCAGTGAACTGCTCAGGGCCTGAGCCTACTGGATCTCCCACAAACACATTGCAGCCTCATTGCTTGTGAGGGAGCCCATGGTTATTCTCTCCAGACACTACATTTCCTGACCTTCAGCCCTGGTTATCTGATACTGGCAATTAAATACCGGTTCTTTGATAGAACCTTACATGACTATTCCCAGACCCTCATGAGACAGAACATCCCACTGTAGATGGGAGGATGGGCAATCAATCTTAGAGCCTGTGCCCCGCCAGCCCCTTCTTGGCCAAAAGCCCTCATTTTTGGGGTCCAAGAGATCTTAGAGCTGAGATTAGTATCTTCCCTGTCTGCCTGATACCGTTTGGGGTCTACTTTCTGACACGTGTCCTGAGGATTTGCCCTTGCTTGGCAGTTATGTTCTCACATCCTCGGATGTCTGTTCAAACTCCAGATGTCAGTCTTTCCCATGAAGGCCTGCCCTCCCACCAGCTACTGTGTTGAAGAGAGCTCAGGGAAGGAAACTGACTCCAAATGATTGAGTTGGGAAGTCCAGTAAACAGATTCACATTGGTACAATTTGGACTAGAGAATAAGAAAGAAGTAAACAAAAATGGCAAGGAAGGAGTCTTAATACCAGTCTCCAGCCTGTACCACATGCTTGTCAAGTGAGTGTTGTCATTGTACTTAAAACCAAAAGATGGCAAAAGCAAGATCAGGAGTGGAATCAGAGTGGCGGAAAATTGAACTCTTGGGGAAGCCACTTGGTCATGTGAAAAGTAACTCAACACCCGTTATCTTGGCAAGAATGTGCCTGGCATTGCCAACCTGCCTTTGATTAATGAACAGAACCCATAAATAAGAAATGAGCTGGAAACCACCAGGAGAAAGCACTAATATGCTGTGCTGCAATCATTACCCGGACAGAGTGGATATTGCAGGGCTCAGAACATTTGACTTTCTGCTGCCTCCATGATCATTTATTCATTTATTCATTGATGCATTCAGGCAGCTAGTCAGCCAGCATTCAGCAAAGACCTGTCTTAAGGCAGCCAGGGAATATAAATTCTGGGGTTATAATGGCAACATTTACACTCCTTCACTGAACTTGCACCTCGCCTGGAAACAGACAACAATTACCCATGTGAGATAAATGCTGTGATAGGTCAGAGTTGGGCCTTGGAGCCAGGGACATTTACTGAGATCGGAAGGCTTGAGAGAAACTGTCCAGACAAGGGACAATGGGTGGTTTATTGACTGATTTTGCAAAGAGTGATATTTGTTTCTTCTTTAAATTTCTTTCTAGGATGTTCAGTTCTTCTCCACAATGAATGAGTGTCACTATGATAAGCAGATGGACTTTTTTTATAACAAAAGCAACACTGCCACTGCCGATGACTGGACAGGAACGAAGCTCGTGATTGTTCTATGTGTTGGAACATTTTTCTGCCTGTTTATTTTCTTTTCTAATTCTCTGGTCATCGCAGCGGTGATTAAAAACAGAAAGTTTCATTTCCCCTTCTACTACCTGTTGGCTAACTTAGCTGCTGCAGATTTCTTTGCCGGAATTGCCTATGTATTCCTGATGTTCAACACTGGCCCCGTTTCAAGGACTTTGACCGTCAACCGCTGGTTTCTCCGCCAGGGGCTCCTGGACACTAGCTTGACCGCCTCGCTGACCAATTTGCTGGTGATTGCTGTGGAGAGGCACATGTCAATCATGAGGATGCGGATCCACAGCAACCTGACCAAAAAGAGGGTGACGTTGCTCATTTTGTTTGTCTGGGTCATTGCCATCTTTATGGGGGCGGTCCCCACACTGGGCTGGAATTGCCTCTGTGACATCTCTACCTGCTCTTCCCTGGCCCCCATTTATAGCAGGAGTTACCTCATTTTTTGGACTGTGTCCAACCTCGTGGCCTTCTTCATCATGGTCGTGGTGTACCTGCGGATCTACATGTACGTCAAGAGGAAAACCAACGTCTTGTCCCCACATACTAGTGGCTCCATCAGCCGCCGGAGGACACCCATGAAGCTAATGAAGACAGTGATGACTGTCTTAGGTAAGGAGAGCCCAGTGAGTCATTCTTCCCATCCATTCAGCACATATTTCTTGAGTATGTGCTATATATAAGGCACCTACAGGTAGTAAGAATGCAGCAGTGAGCAAGGACAGGTATAACTCTTCACCTGCCTAGTAGGGGGAGACAAAATGAGTATTCTAATAGGGAGAAATAAAATAATTGTACAAAAATTTTAAAATAACATAAAATAAGAGGTTGATGACTCTTACTGGAAAATTACAGCAGGGAAGGGAGATGAGGCTAAGCAGGTATAGTTTGCAGTTTTAAAAAACACTGTGAGAGCCGGTTCCATCTAGAGGATAACTTTTGAGCAGAGATGTGAAGTTGTTGAGGGAGCCAAGCTCATGGGAAGGGGAAGGTGTTCCAAGCAGAAGGGGCCTGAACAGAAGGAGGCCAGCGTGGCTGGAGTGGCGTGAACTGGGGAGAGTAGGAGGGGATTGGATCAGAGACCTGAGGGTAGATTGGAGCAACTGAGATTATTTAGGACTATGCCATGATCCTACTTAGGTTTTAATGGCCTCTCTGTGGCTGCTGTTTTGATAAAACACTACAATGGGGCAAGGACAAAAGTGAGAGAATTTCTTATGAAGGTACTTCAGTACTCAGGAGGGATGATAGTGCTGGGACCAGAGGTTCAGATTGGAGGTGATGAGGTCTGGTCAGATTCTGGATGTTTCTAAAGGTAGAGTTGATAGGATTTGCTGGCTGGTAAGGTATAAAGGAAGTGAGAAGAGGAGGGGAAGGTGGAGCGTGTTATTTACTGAGGTGGGGAAGACAGAGAGGCGGAGATGGGGGGGGGCAAGGTCAGGAGTTTGGTTTTGGACAAACTAAGTGAAGGATCCTATTAGACATCTCAGTGGAGTCACTGAGTAGGCAGTTGGATGTATGAATGAGGAGTTCAGGAATAGGCATGAGCTAGAAATCTATATCAGAGAGTCGCTGAGGGAAAAAATGCTGGATGAGATGAGAAGAGGACCCAGGATGAGCCTCAGGACACTCCCATGTGAGGAGGAGGGGAGGCAGGAAACAGCCAGAGAAGAGCCCCAGAGGAATAGCCAGAAATTCCCGGAGAATGTGGTGGCCCAGAAGCCAAGAGCGGGAAGCCCTGGAGGATAGGCAGTATCAGCAATGGAGTCCTCCTGAGAGACGGAGTCCGATGGGCTCACAGGGTTTAGCAGAGCAGAGTTACTATACTGACCTGGAGAAGACTGGATTTAGTGTAGCTCAGTGATCTGAGCAAAATGAATAAGGAAATGAAGGGGAGGATTTAGGACAACTTGGGAAGTTTGCTTTGACCTGTGAGCCTTGTACCATGAAGACACATTTGGTGCAAAGGAAGTTCCCTTCATTTTGCTTCTTCTGTGGTAGATGGCTTGTTGTCCCCCAATTCCAGACCTGGGTTGCAGGTAGGATTTGGGATGTGTGGGCAGACACCTTTGTGGTTTCTCAGGCCTTGCATTTGAAGTTAGGAGGCCTTTCCTCCCTATGGCTGCAGCAATGGGGACTGTTAGTGAGAGACCCAGGAGTATATTCCGGGAAAGTCCCAATGTGAAGGAATTAAAAACTGAGTTCTCAGGAAACAATCCACATTAGAGGATATAGGGTGTCCGCAGTGTGGTGTGGGAACCGTCATACTGTTCCTATGTCCTAAAACTGCTAGTAAGATTTGCAGATCAGCAGACACACAGCATGATAGTTAAAATAACTTCCAACTCAGGATTTATTTCTGTTAACTAATATTTATTTATTTATATATGTATTATTATTATTATAATTATTATTGTTAACCTTCACCCAAAGATAATTTTCCCATTGATTTTTAGAGAAAGTGGAAAGGTGAGAGAGAGACAGAGAAACATTGATGTGAGAAAGAAGCATTGTTTGGTTGCCTCCTGCATGCACCCCGACCAGGCCGGGGAACCTGCAACCAAGGTATGCGCCTTTGACTGGGATCTAGCCTGGGACTTTTCAGTCCATAGGCTGACACTCTATCCACTGAGTCTAACCAGCTAGGGATTAGTCAACTAATATTTATGTAGTGTTTCATATGTGTCACATGTTGTCCTGATATTTTACATATATGAACTGATTTAATGCTCATGGCCACCCTGTGAGGTATTATAGGTACTACTATCACCCTGTTTTCCAGATGAGGAAACTAAACAGAGAGTTCAAGCAGTATGCCCAGGGCTATTTAGCTGTTAACGGTGAAACCAAGATGGCCAGTCGGCCTTTGGAGTCCACATGTTTAACACACACTCTGCAACTACTTTTGGTTGCTTGGACTTTTTATGGATCTCATCTTTGGCCTGTCTTCTGCTTTGACTGCCTCCTTCTTTGAGTGTCTTGACAGGAACATAGAAAAGAATAAGAAAAGGGGGCGGGGGTCGGTTAACCTGTGGTTCCGCTCTTGAGCGAGAGAGGATATTTTAGGTAAAGAGTAAAGCTTGTTATTTACTGGTAGTGTGAATGGACTCTGATGCTTTTCCTTCTTAACTTACCAACATAATCGTTTGCTTGGCTGTGTGTCTTGAGCAACTACCTGCCCGATTATGGAGAAAACTAAACTTTTGTAGCATATGATATTCACACGCAGCATGAGATAGAAGAAACTTCTATAATCCTCGGTGGAGACAGTAGAACTCGTGGCGATGTGGTCATAGTCACGAGCTTTGGTTTTGTAGGTAAGTTTGTCTGGACCATACGGAAGGGTTTAAAATAAAGCAGCCTTGTGGTTTTGGTAGGTGCGGTATTGGATAAGGGAAACACTGGAATAAACAGTGAAATTGCCCAGCAGGATAAGAGAAGTCGTGGCATTGAGATGGAACAACATCAGGGAATTGGTTGATGAGAGGAAGACAGTTTGGTGTTGACTTGGGGAAGTTCCTCCGTGGTCAGACCGAGGGATCTGCTGGAAGACGGGAAGTCTGGGGGCCAGGGAAGTGAAACTGAAGAGCTAGTTGGTCTGAGGTTTTGAGCTGATTTCTTTGGATAACAGAAGATTTGTTTGGATTTTAACTTCAACTCTGTCATTTTCTACAAAGGTGATCTGAAGCACATTAGCTCACCTTTTTTGGTTAAATTTCCTCATCTGAGGTGGAACAGATAATCTTTAAGTTCTTTCAATGTTATAAAATTCAGTGATCCTGTTGTTACCAAAAGTCATCAAAGCTGATGCATAGTTTTGTGGATTGACTGTGTATCAAGCACAGAATCTTCTTCCATGAGAGCATCTACTATAGCGTCTGCTCAGGGAGGAAGCCACTCAGTTGCTCTGTCTCATGAAAAAAATTCAGTTGCCTGAGACAAGTGTCTCCTATGTGAGACTATATCAGAAAAATCAATAGTGCTGGCCATCTGCATTATTGTTGCTGGTTCTACCATTATGGTAATTAATAACTTAATGTTTACTTCTATAATGATTACCTGATTTAAGTAGCTTCATAGTAAAATACTAAACCTTTCTATTTACTCCTTGCTATGTATGTTGTAAGAAAGTTTAACTTAAGATTAAATTTTCTTATAAACACACCTTTTAAATATTAGAAAGTCAGTCAATGCTTATATATTAAACTGTTTGTTGAACAGCAACTAAGAGGCCAAAGGTTACATGAATTCATATCAGAGAAAGGGGGAGGGATGGAGAAGTCTGTAGAATTTGGGGAAGACTTCTTAGAGTGCTTAGGATGTGATCTGGAAAAATAAATTGAGTTTGTATGGGAAGGAAGGGAAAACATTTTAAGTAGGAGAAACAGTATAATCAAAAGTGTGATGGAAGCCGAAACCGGTTTGGCTCAGTGGATAGAGCATCGATCTGCAGACTGAAGGGTCCCAGGTTTGATTCCTGTCAAGGGCATGTACATTGGTTGCGGGCACGTCCCTGGTGGGGAGTGTGCAGGAAGTAGCTCTCTCGTCGATGATTCTCTCGTCGACGTTTCTAGCTCTCTATCCTTCTCCCTTCCTTTCTGTAAAAAGTCAATAAAATATATTTTTTTTAAAAGTGTGATGGTAGAAACATCTAAAGCTTTTGCAGTACCGTAAGGAAAGCCCTTACGAGCACAGATGCATGTTGTGGTACATGGGGAAATAGTTCAACTGTGAGCTAGAAAAGTGTAGTGGGCCATCCTCTTTGGAAGGAGAGAAGTAGACCAGAAGACTTTTGTGTTTCTCTCCAGCTTTAGGATTCTGGTCGGACACAAAGGCATGCAGAGTTGGATAGGGAGCAGATTCTTTCCTCGTTGAGGGAGGTGGAGGCTGTGAGGATGGTGCTGTGAATTTTAAATCTGTGCATGATTGGAAAGGCATCTAGTCATCGTGTTCCCATTTCAGCAGCCCTGAGGCAGAATGCTTGCTCACTCCTGGGTTATGAAGTGTGATGGGCCCTTTACGTGAGAGAAGATTTATTGAAGGTTCTCGTTGAAAAGGCATTGGGAACATAGGAGCTTACTTTCCACAGGGCACCCTGGCCCTGCCCAAGAGAGAGTCCTGTGTTTTGGAATTCTGCTTGTTAACATGTTAATCATCTGCAGCAACCAAACACATGAGGAACCCCTCCTACCCCCACTCCCCACCTCCCCCTCCGCATGGAACCTCTCCTGTACCATCAGCACAGCACCAAGTGAACTGTGCATACGGGTGATTTGTTTCCCAGAAAATGGGCTGGACTTACTTCTGTTTTGCAATGACTTGAAATGCAAAAAAGAAAAGTTGAAGGGATTCGTGAATTACACTTTTGAAATCTTCCATGAACCTTCCTGTCTCTTAGGGTGGTGTTTTTCAAACTGTAGGTGTTTTTCAAAGTGTCAAGTAATGAAATCAATTTGGAGATTGTAACTGACACTATTTTATAACTGTGTGTGTGTGTGTGTGTGTGTGTGTGTGTGTGTGTGTGTGTGTGTGATGGATTATGGTATAAAATGTATTTCTTACCATGGGTTATGGTCAAGAACGTCTAAAATGTCATGGTTTTAGAGTCAAGG